TATTAAAATACCCCAAAAAATACTAAAAGATCAATTAGAATGGGTGAGTTTTAAAATTTCAAATCAGACCCCTTATATTATTTTTTAATTTTAAAATATTATAAAATGACAATATTATCTTTACTATCAGTTATTACTTTCACATAGTTATTGACTATTCTAATTTCATTATTGACTTCTTTTGCTTTCAAAATTCCAGTGATTACTTTTGTATAAGTATTAACTACATAATAGTAGTAAATAATTAAACAAAAAGTAGTCATTAAATCTCTAACAATAATAAATGTATTTTTTTGATTTTGGAAACAAAATTAATCAATAGCGAAACTAGAATAGTTAATAACTAAACAATAATAGTCACCAAATTTTTATGGCATATGATGAACTTAATCACTGATAGCGATTTCAATGGTTTCGTTGTAGGTTACAATCACAGGCATCGAATTTAAAATTTAAATTTATGTCTAATTATTAGTGGGTAGAATTTTAATCGTGTGATGCCATATTCAATAAAAAAATAGAAAAAAGATATTAAAATACCCTCAAAAATACTAAAAGATCAATTAGAATGGGTGAATTTTAAAATTTCAAATCAGACTCCTTATATTATTTTTTAATTTTAAAATATTATAAAATGACAATATTGTCCTTACTATCAGTTATTACTTTCACATAGCTATTGACTATTCTAATTTCATTATTAACTACTTTTGCTTTCAAAATTCCTGTGATTACTTTTATATAAGTATTAACTACATAATAGTAGTAAATAATTAAACAAAAGTAGTCATTAGGTCTGTAACAACAATAAATGTATTTTTTTGATTTTTGAAACAAAATTAATCAATAGCGAAACTAAAATAGTTAATAACTAAACAAGAATAGTCACCAAAATTTTAAAAATGAAAGTAATCAATTGCAATGCTAGAGTAGTCAATAGCTAAACAAGAGTAGTTATCAAAATTCTAAAAACAAATGTAATCAATAGCTAAAAAAATAGTCAATGCATAAGAAATGATAGTTACTGGAGCTTCGACAACTAATCAGCTAAGTTCCTATGACAAATCGCCAGAGTTTCGACAGCAAGCCACTAGTAGGGTGGTCAACGCCTAAGCTCCAGTGGTCAGAAATTGGCTAAGGTGGCAATATTTAAAGAAAAAGAAATAGTGAAGGGCATTAATGTAATTTTGTAAGATTTGAAAATTCTAAAATAATAGTAGGTGTCTCAAGTGAAATTTTAAAATTCACCCACATTGATTTGTCCTATAAAAATTTTCAGGGTATTTTATTTTTTTCCTAAAATCAATTTGGGAAAAACCCTGAAAAGTTTCTATTGTAAAGTCTATTGCACAAAGGACCAACTACTAAAGAACTTAGGTTCATGAGTAGGAGTAATTTTTCTTTAATTGCATGCAACTTATATTAAGCTATGTGCTTGTTTTTTTTTTTTTTTTGCCAATGTTTGGTTCCTTTGAACAATAAATTTTGTAACCTAGATTTGCAACCAAGCACAATTAGAAAAAGTAATATTAAAATAAAGAATACTCGCACATAACTTATCAAGATAAAAAAAAACATGGTAAAAATTTTTTCATATTAAGTTTTGGTATCTTGGGATTTTATGAGACTTTTTTCTTTTTTAGCTTCGGATATTGGTATGTGGATCCTATTACTTTTTTGGTAATTAATAAAATTAACTTCTTTTTAGCCAAAAGAAAACTCTTTTTAACGAGCTCTCTAAATAATGAGCCTGTCACTCACATAAAGTTCAACTGTATTTTTATTTATTTCATGGTCTTATTTTATTCCAAATTATCATAATTCTAATTACTGGGACTAATAATCTCTTAGACCCTTAGTTGACATATTTACAGCTTAAAAAAATTAAAAAACATTTTGAAAGTACCTATACTTTTTTTAATTTTTAATTTTATACCCAATATAACAAAATTACAAGAGATAATGTTATTGTAAAAGTAAAATTAAATAATTTAATTAAGAAAAGAAAACAAATAGGTACCACATTAAAAATTGAGAGAAAGTATAAATACCTCTAATATGATTGTTCTCAAAATAAGTATAAAAAAATAAAAATTTCATCTTGTGTGCTGTTAGACCCCCGATTCCAACAAATCCAGAAGAATCCCAGGATCCTTATCAAGAGAACTCACAGATTTAGCTCACTCAACTTGAAAGACTCCATCTCTCTCAGCCAAGCCTGCAGTTATAAACTCCATTTCTTGTAAGAAATCCCAAGATCATAACCAAGATGATGATGATGAGACTCTGCTCAGAAAGTTTGAAGAATACTAACTCAAAAGGAGTCACAGACCACCTTCACACTACAATACAAGAATCTATGATTCTGATGCTCATAACTCTGACCTAGAAAATGTCATAAACCTGTCCCCAAGTTATGAACCCATCTGCAAAAGCTTGCGATCAGCATAATCATCAAGAAATCTGCTTTGTGTCATATTAAAAGATAAGGAAGACTCGCCAGGAATCTGCTTTATGTCCTACGTCTACTTTAACTTTAACCTTATTAAAGTAGTTCATCTTGTTATAATAATTAAAATAGTTTGTCTTGTTGTAATAATTAAAAGAATCTTTGCCTTTATGTTATATTATAATAATGGTGTCCAGAATCTCTACTATTAGGTTTTTGTCATGTTATGACCCAGAATCTCTATATAAACCATGCTTTGCCTATAGTTAAAGGCAGAAGGAGTTGTAATAACTTCCTTATATAATATTAGTGTGCTTTTCTCATGACCTTTTTCTAAATTCTTGTCTTCTTTTGAAAGCCTCATTTATAATACCTTTCTTCTATCATCAGAGATTTTAAGTATGTCTACACTTGTCTCTTTCAGAGAATCCTATGCATCAGAAATAGAATCTGACCACGATCCATTAAGATGTGTTTAGTAATGACTTTCCCAGTTATTTTAGATCTGGTATTCAAAGATGAGAGTCTTAATGGATTCTCTAGATATCTGATTAAATCCTAATTATTTCATATCTCATTCTTCGTCATTTTTTACTTTTAAGACCCTCTCTAATTAATATAAGGAAAAAAGACAAAAAAAATGATAGTTCAATAATAAAATTCCCAAATAGTCATTTAAATAAGCAAAATTTTATTTTAGGTATAGGTGACTAAATTGAGATTTGCAAATTTACTGAAAAGACCATATTGCCCTTTATATTTTTTCAGAAAAAAACACTAAACACCCTCACCACCTCGCTGGTTGCCCAAGCTTCAGTGTTGCCGACAGCAGCTAGAGTTTTGATGGCCTGTCAGCAACCAGTTGTTGGAGCTTTGGCGGTTGGAAACTGTTTTTTTGGAGATTTTTTTAAGTCAAGTAATGCAATTAACAAGTTTTTCTAATTTTATTAATGGGGTCGGTACAATAGTTAACAATAAATTTATAAAAAAAAAAATAAAATGTGACATTTTTATAATTTTAGTAACGCGATTAATAAATTCAGTAACACTATTAATAAGTTTGTTATAGCATTTAACAAGTTTTTTGAGAAATTAAAAAAGTGATATTTTTACAACTATGGTAGTAGGAAGTCGTGTCACAATATTAACAACTCTTATAACATTATTAACAACTTTAGTAATAAGTCATGTAATAATATTAATAACTCTCATAACCATAGTGATAGCCTAATAAATGAAAAATTTTTGTTGTACAACCCTCATAGGGAGTTAATATTAAAAACATTAACCTTCACAAGTAACTTTTTGTCAATGGCACTATGAGAGTTGTTAATATTGTTACATGACTTGTTAATCATGTTACTGAAATTGTAAAAAATATTAATTTCTGAATTTTTTAGACAACCTGTTGTTAATTGCTACATCAAGCTTGTTAATAACGATATAGAACTCGTTAATTGTGTTATTAAAATTGTAAATATGTCACTTCTTAAATTTTCTTAAAAATATTTTGTTAACTATTATACTAAACTTGTTAATAGTATTAAATAACTTGTTAATCATATTACCAGACTTGCAAAAATTCCTAAAAAATGAATGATGGTCATCGGAGCTCTGATGACCGATCGTCAACTAGCCGCTGGAGCTCTAGTCGTGGCGGCCAACCTAAACTTTGGTGGCCGCCGGCACCAGAGCTCTGACAATTGGCTTACTTGTAAGGGTGCTTGGTTTTTTTTTTTTTTTTTTAAATAAAGGGTAATATGATCATATTTGCAATTCCCAATTTGATCACCTATACCTAAACTGGAATTTTTCTTATTCACGTGACCATTTGGGGAATTTGAAATTTAGAAATCATTTTTTTGTCATTTTTGTTTATTTAGGTCATTCTCTCTAATTTTTGCTTAATATACTCTGTGATTGTAAACTTCCAACAAAGAAAATAGTAAAATAATAATATATGTTCTCCATTTACTAAATAATTGTCATTTTTTGGCTCAAAAACATAATTGCCATTTAATTTATGTAGACATATGATAATATTCAATAAATGACCAAATTGGGAACAAAAAGTTATACATACTCATATTAATATCATTACGCTTATCATCAAAATAAACTGTTTAAATGGTAAATTCTTTGTTTCACGTTTTCTCACCTCATAAATAAATGTATTTTAAGAAAAATATTACATTTATTGTCTCCAACTAATTTCAACTAGCTTTTTTATCAATATAATTTGTTTATTTGTTTCTTATAAAAAGAAACTAGAAATATTCACGATTGATATGATGGAATATAAAATCAGCAAAATATGTCTACTTGCCTATATTACCTTCTTGGCTGTGTTTTCTTTTTGTTTTTGGATAGTTGGAATCCACAATCTTAAAATCAAAATTTGAATGAATAGGCTTCAATATTTTATAAGATAGATTTTTAATTATGGTTCTAGGCTATTTAGATTAAGTTTTCAAAACTCGAATTTATTTATTATTCTTCAGAATTATATATTTTAATAATAATTTTGCGGAATTATTCACATTTTAATTCTTAAGGTAGGGAGTGGGAAAGCCAAAAAAAAAACAAAAAACAAAAGACGTCAAATCTGAGCGACTTTAAATTTCCCATTTTGATTAATAATATTACAAAATCAATGATCAGATTTTTGCATGGCACCTATTTCTTATCATTGCTTTTTAATTTTTTTTATATTGAGTCATTGATTATCTTTTTGTTTTGTCTTAATTACAAGAATCTTCTCTCTATTTTGATAATATATATATTTTAGTTTAAACATTAATACAGTTAAAAAAATAATAAAAAAGTTTTTACAAATATTTTTAATTAAAAAATACTACATCCTATTTTAATTATAAGACCTTGTTTATAAACTACAAACAAGATCTTATAATTAGGACCAGAGATAGTATATTCTAATAAATCTTGTTTACTATTTTACCCTCATTGTATTATAAATTACTTTAATTACTTCTTCCTCTCTTTACAGGGAGATATTTAGGAATTAGCATGAATCATACATTAATGTATCATTTGAGGGAGACCATGCAAAGATATTGTTCTCATGAAATAGTGGATTCATGAAATGTCTTTGATTCTATGATATTTGTTTCATTTAGGAGGTGAGAATTGCTTTGAGTTGCTTTCTTGATTAGAATTATAAGCTCTACATGCATAGCATGGCGAAGCACATGCTAGTTATGATTATACATAATAAGATTAACACAATAGAGATGAACTAGAATTTAAATATATATTAACACAGTATTTTAGGAGACAGATATTTATCATGGTACACTTGAGTGCCAGCTTTGCAATGTAAAGCTATGGTGGAAGAGAATTGCTGTCCAGAGACAAATTCTACTTACACACACCTTTCTTTAATTTAAGGGATAATAAAGTAGACTAAATAAATCATTTTCCAAGTGTACGGGCCACTAGCTTGAACTACAAAAAAAAAAAAAAAAACTGCTTTACAATTGTAATATCAACTTCACTTGAACAGAAAGTGTAAATGCTTTACAAGTTGAACTTCCTACCTTTGTTTGCCAAAATCAATGCTCTACCATCATTGTATTCTGACTGCTTAGATTAATGATTCCAAAAGGATTTGCCAGTCAAACAGCTTAAGCTTCAAAAACTTGAAAATAACAGATATGTCACGTCTTGGAAATTGCATTATAACTAGGTGAAGCCCTTGCGGCCTTCCCATTGCATTAGATATATTCACCCGTAGTCCTTTTGCTGAGATCATATGAAAAATTTGATGACTTTACATATAAGCAAACTATGTTCTACACGCAAAGCATATGACCCAGATTTTAGTGAGACAAAAGAATTTAAAACTTCAAATAGATAGAAATTGAGAGAAAGATATAGTAAAAAAAGACTTTTTTCCCCCTTGGATTCTTGAAAATTGAATCAAAAGTCTACAACTAAATCAAAGACATGCATGAAATAAGAAAGGAAAACCCAATTAAGAGAATCTTTTATATTAAGCACACAGAAAACAAAAGTAATAAAATCAAAGGAATTCCCTACAAGTCTTGGAGGGAAACACGATCTTTGCTTTGCTGTTTAAGGCTAGCGTAGGTCTTTTTTCCAATAAACAAAAAACCGGACCGGGTATTGAACCGGTCGAGGAAGTGGTTTAAGGGTTAATGGTTAGATCGAGATCAGACCGGGGTCAGACCGGTTATATTAAAATAATATAATTTAATTAATAATGACAAAATATAACAACATTAATAATCACTTATAACAAAATATAAAAAAATACAGCAATAATTTAGTTACAGCACATAACAAAATAATTGAAAATATTCATCATTACAATCTTTTAATCATTAAAATTCAAAATATTATATTTGATATAAAAATATTTGATTATAAAATTTTTATGTAGTATAATAAAGAAACTGCATTCATCTCATTGTTTTGCAAGACGATCATTTTTTTTATTATAAAATATGTATTTACAATTTACATGTCATGGGAGATAAAAAAAATTAAATTAAATGAGGCTTTGAAAAACGAAAAAAAATGGACAGAACACATTATACTAGGCCTGCAAAATAAAGCCTATACATAGGGTCTAACACTTGACTTTAATTTGCACAGGCTTTTTATTTTGTTGGACAGAACACGTTATACTAGACCTCAGCTTCTGTTTCTTTCTCCACCGTCTTCTTTTTTTGATTTTTTCGACTTCATGTCTCTTCTCCTTCCACCTTCCTCCTCCCCCCCCTCTCTCTCTCTGAAAACTCACTTCTTCTTCAATGGGTTTCAAACAAAAGCAACAAGGATGTGGCTCTCTACAAAAACAATCGGCAAGCTCCTCTCCTTCTCTGTCTTTCCCTTTCATCCTGCTCTTCCTTTTCCTCGCTTTCATTCTCCTTCTTTCAAGTCTGATACGTTTTATCTGTGACTCTTCTCTTTTTGCCTCTTCTTCCTCCCGTAGGACATGGAAAAAAGGAAAAGACCGAACAACCCACCTCAGCCGGCGGTTATCTGGTTTTAAACCAGTTTTTACCGGTTTAGCCGATTCGTTTCCAATTCCTTTTATGCGCGGTCTACCAACCAAACTAGACCGGACTGAAGACTGGTTCACCGGTTTTTTGGTTGAATTGACCGGTCCGGTCCGGTTTTGTTTTACCTTGCTTTTTTTCCTTGTATGGGTGTCCAAGTCTGAAATAAGAACAATGAAATATGAGAGAGGAATGAAATATGAGAGAGGAATATTAACAATGAAACACGAGGAAGGAATATTTGGATCACAAAAACACGAGATATTTTTTAGTTTCTTGGAAATTTAGATTTATTTTTAGAGTCATTTAGGACTTAGTTCAATAGATATTCTGATAATAAAAAGGATTATTTAGCTAACAAGATAGATAGGTGGGGACATTTGAGTCTTTCTAAACACCCCCCAAATTGTACTTTCAGCAGCTTACGTAATGTCAGAAGGTGAACAGCCATTTTTCCTCAACAGGTTCGACTCTTTTCTCTTGGCGAGACAATGTGAACTTTTTATTCCTAAATAATTTTATTCTTTGAATTGAAAACAAAGGAATTCATCCAAGAATGCATAAACAAAAGCTAAATTTAAACAACTCAGACTAAGAAGCCAATTGCATAACCGTGAAAAGCATTGTCAACATATAACTAATGTCAAAGATTCCAAAAAGGATAGCAATAATATAGACACTAAATCAGTTTACTACCTCTTTCGTTTAGCACCTTTACCATTCTAGCGCAACCATCGGCTGTGGATAAAACTCTTTCCTTGACCTTACCTGTAGTCTGCAGATGGGATAACCCAAAAAACAAAAAAGGAAGGGGAAAATCAGTACTGGGTGGAATTGAATCAAGCAAATATATCTCAACATGGCAACGTTTGTGACGTTCAAAGTTAGAATTGTTTGCCCGTCTTTTGACTGAGACGCAGAATGCCTGAGGTGAGAGCACTGTGGGGAATCAAAAGTCAAATGATAAGTTGAATCTTCAGATGCTTCGGCAACCTAGATATGGTTAATGTGTTCCTTTCCTTTCCCAGTGAGGTTACAGAAGCCAACCTGCATATAATAAAAGTTACAGGATTTATCCATCTTAGGAAGTAATTCAATTTAACTTAAGACATATTTCTGAGAAACGCTAAAATAATCAAGATGTACGGGTGTGGAGATTTCAAACCTTCTAGTACATGAAAACAGATAGTAATCACAATAACGAATAATATATATTACTTACTGTTGATCCAACGAGGTTACAGTTGATTGGTGGAGTCAACTCATATTCCGCGGATCGAGAGCAAAAGCAGATGGCAAGCAAACTGATTGACCGTCCAAGGTTTACACTAGACTTGGAGCCATCAAAAGCAAAAGCCCATTGTGTCTTCTGATGACCAGATGATTAACTTCTCCCACATGCACAATATAGGCGGCAGTATCGAACTCACTAGGAGACAAGTATATAAGGACGCAGTATCAAACTCACAATGGCATGTTGCGTTCCTTTCATTTTTTGACTGCGAGCAGTAAGATATATAATACCTTCAATCCTATCCTTAATACAAGAATTAGTTGATTAATTTGAGTAGATTAAGAAAATCAGTTAAGTTAGTTATTTTTAATAAATAAGTGTTATTTTTCAAAAATATTTTTACTAATCAAATGTATTTAGCTAGAACTACTATTATTACAAAGACTACCTTTAGTAAAAATGTATAAATATGAGAGATAAAGTGGATTGGGGGTACTATATTTAGGACTAAAATAAAATTCAAAAGAGTCCTTATATTAAGAAGGATGGTATAAAATATTGAGGTAACAAGTAACTTGGAAAGAGGGATGTCACTCAAACTTGATAGTAAGATCGATTTGCTATTGGCGGCAGCAAAGGAGGAACAGTAAATCCGGTTCGAGTCGCGTTACAAGGACACTGTCCTTGAGAGATATTCTGCAACCCCTCGGTGTAACAGGCAACAGCACTCCCTAGGATCAAACGAACCCTTCCTGCGAAGCAAGGCAGCAGAACAGCAAAAGCAACTGTAACAAGGAACACAGCGGGAGAGAAGAGGAAGAGGATGGAGCAGTGAGTCTTTCACGCTGTCTGGACAATCCCTTATATAGGCGCGAATGGCCACATCACCGGAAGACGCATCCCTCTGTTTCGCCGAGCGGGTACGACAAAAGCAACGCAAGTTTCCGTCGGAGACGGAACAACACGAACGTTGGTGCACACAACGTTCGTTTACACCCCGCGAGACACGTCTGGTCGGCCACAAAACGAGACGGCAAGCCTCTTGACTTTTAATAGGTCCAAAATAAGGCTTTTTTGGTAAGCAAAATTTTATTAAAAAATATCCAACAAAGTTTAAAATAATTTTCGCAAAATGAAGCATTGCCACGTCTAATTCACGCGCAGGGGGGAAATCGCCGATTTACAACTGCGTTTCCCTCCTAGTGGCCCGTTGTTGTGTGCATGAGGCCCACTTCTCTCTTGGCCCATTTACCCCCCCAAGGAAGCTTGATCTCATTTATACACTTAGTCTTCTTCTCATCTTTCCCATGTGGGACTTTATTTGACATACACATTGCATTGTTTCACAACAATCCCCCACATGTGTCAAATAAAGAGCCAAAGTTACACACATGGGTATAATCATTGTATCTAGTGGTTCTTGCGACTATGAACTAGACCTAGACCGATAACACTTAGTACACAGAGATGCCAGTGAAGCTTGCTTCTATGAACTGTCATCTCTTTGGCGTGTACCAGAGGCATTAAAAGTCAGATTATACCCCCACATTTCCGCTGTTAACGACGGTTTTGAGCGTTATAACGGCCGTGCGCGTGCCTGGTGTATAACGAATGCTCTAGAGATTTTGCCATGATCTCATAGGAGCGGCCCCACTCCACATTCGTAGAGGTGATTTCATTTAAGTGTACCTGCACTGACTACACCATCTCGTAGGATTTGAAATCATTAAGAGCTTTGCTCAACCCTCCAACATGCAATCTAGCACTTTCTCGCACATCATAGGAATGGACTAGTAATTTTGGTTTAGTGCTAGCAGTACTAACGAGCGACTTGTTCTTACCCATTGAACCTTCTTCATAGGATCACCAATCACAAAGGTTGGGTTGCCATTGCTGTCGTAATCATACTGGCTTTAGTCCCATTCCCCTCGATGTTTCGATAATTTGTTTCCTCCCTAGGGGTTTTGTTAATGAATCTGCTAGGTTCATTTCTGACCTCACAAAATCGATTGAGATCACCTCGTCCTTTAGCAGCTGCCTTAAAATATTGTGTCTCAATCGAATGTGTCTGCTTTTGCCATTAAATGTTTTATTTTTGGCCATGGCTATTGCTGCCTGGTTATCACAGTGTAATGATATTGATGGCGTTGGCTTGTCTCCCAATGGGATATTTGCTAAGAAGTTTTTCAACCACTCAGCCTCTGTACCAGCCAATTCCATAGCAACTAACTCAGAATCCCTTAAGATCGAGTTATGATGCTTTGTTTGGCTGACTTCCAAGTGACAGCTCCACCACCAAATGTAAAAACATAACCGCTAGTGGACTTTGTCTCGTCTGAATCTGAGATCCAATTAGCATCACTGTATCCTTCTAATACAGCGGGAAATCCACTATATAGTATACCATAATTCATGGTACCCTTCAGATATCATAATAATCTCTTCAGAGCTTCCCAATGTTCACTGCCTGGACAGTGAGTATATCTGCTCAATTGCACACGCATATGCTATGTCTGGCCTGGTATAATTCATCAAATGCAACAGACTCCCAATAATCTGTGCATACATAGATTGAGCAATCGGATCTCCTTTATGCTTCTTTAGATGCACACTAGCATCATAAGGGGTACTCAAAGGAGTTTCATCATAATGTTCAAACTTTCTCAGTATTTTCTCGACATAATGTTCCTAAGAAAGTAAGATACCATTCTCATTTCTTGTGATTTTAACACCTAAGATTATTTTTGCTTCACCCAGATCTTTCATATCAAAATTTGAATTAAGAAACATTTTTGTTTCAAGCACAACATTCATACTGGTTCCAAAAATAAGCATATCATCCACATATAAACAAATAATCACACAATCATCATTCACAACTTTAGTATAAACACATCTTTCTACTTCGACAGTAGAGAAACCACCACTCATTAAAACTTGATCTAACTTCTCATGCCATTGTTTGGGTGCTTGTCTTTAAGCCATATAGAGATTTTACTAACTTGCATACTTTATTTTCTTATCTAGGAACAACACACCCTTCAGGTTGTACCATATAAATTTCCTCTTCTAAATCACCATTTAGAAATGCTGTTTTAACATCCATTTGATGAATGAAAAGCTTATGAATTGATGCCAAAGCAATAAGGATTCTAACAGATGATATCCTTGTAACAGGAGATAATGTATCAAAATAATCAACATTTTCCTTTTGGGTAAAACCCTTAGCTACAAGTTGCGCTTTGTATTTATCTATGGTTCCATCAGGAAAATATTTTTTCCTAAAGACTCATTTGCAACCTATAGGTTTTGCTCCTGAAGGCAAGTCTACCAAAACCCAAGTTTTATTTTTATTTAAAGAGTCTATTTCATCTTTAATTGCTTCTTTCCAAAGCTCTGCATCTGGAGAAGAAATTGCTTCATAAAAGTTTCTAGGTTCATTTTGTACTAAAAAAGTGTAAAAATCATCTCCAAAAGATGTTTCCTTTCTTTGTCTTTTACTTCTCCGTAATTCTTCAGTCAAAACTTGATTTGTTTTTTCTTGAAAAGAAGCAGAAGGATTTTTAACACCTTTGGGAATATGCTCAACTTTTAATGGAAAAATGTTTTCGAAAAATTCAGCATCTTTTGTTTCAGTAATTGTGTTTTGATTCAAAACTAAAAAACGATAAGCAGCACTTTGTTGAGCATAACCAATAAACATACAGTCAACAGTTTTAGAACCAATTTTCCTTTTCTTAAAATCAGGCAATAAAACTTTTGCAAGCCACCCCCACACTTTCAAATATTTAAAATTAGGTACAAAACCTTTCCACAACTTATAAGGTGTTTTGTTAGTTTTCCTATGAGGTATTCTATTTTGTAAAAAGCAAGCAGATAACAAAGCTTCACCCCATAAATTATCAGGTGCACCAGAACTCACAAGCAAAGCATTCATCATCTCTTTTAAAGTTCTATTTTTCCTTTCTGCAACTCCATTAGATTCAGGTGAGTAAGGAGGTGTTACTTCATGTATTATTCCCTCTTTTTCACAAAAATCATTTAATAATAAATATTCTCCTCCTCTATCAGATCTAACTCTTTTAATTTTCCTACTTAGTTGATTTTCTACCTCTGCCTTATATAAGATAAATTTTTCAAAACCTTCATCTTTATTTCTTAACAGGTACACCTTAGTGTATCTAGAAAAATCATCAATGAAGGTAATATAGTATCTTTTACCACCTCTAGTCTCTGTTTGTTTCAAATCACCTAAATCAGTATGTATTAATGACAATAACTCAGTCTCTCTTTGTGTAGGAAAATGTGATTTTTTAGTCATTTTGGTTTCTGCACAAACCTCGCATTTACCAATATTATTACTTTTAGTTTCAGAAATTAATTTAAGGTGTTGCAACCTTTTGATATATTTCCTATTAATATGCCCTAATCTAGCATGCCACAGATCATAAGAATCAACCAAGTAAAGAAGAAGATGCATTATCATTCATATCGACACTCAGTACAAAGAGACCTTGATTACAGTAACCCTTCCCCACAAGAACATTGTTCTTTGTCATCACAATTTTATTAGACTCAAATGACACTTTGACCCCAGCCTTTCCCAAGAGAGCCACAGAAATTAAATTTGCTCTCATATCGGGCACATACAGAACATCATTTAGCACTAGAGACTTCCCAGATGTGAGTTTCAGCACCACTTTTCCCTTTCCCTGAACCTTTGCAGTTCGGGAGTCAGCGAGATAAATTTGATCTTCCCCTTCTTCGAAGGAGGTATACATTTCCTTGTTCGCACATATATGCTTGGTAGCCCCAGAGTCTACCACCCATTTTCTCACATCAGAGATGAGGAGGGCCTGAGAAAGCATTGCAGCAATTACTTTGTCATTGTCGCTGTCATCTCCTTCAACCAAATTCACATTTGGCTTGGGAGGATTTTCATCCTTTTGAAAACTTCCCTTAGCCCTCTTTCTGCACTGTGCTGCATGATGTCCTGGTTTCCCACAAACAAAACAATTGCCCTTTTTCTTGAATTTGGAGTTAGTGCCCTTGGGTTTGTAATCAGGCTTCTTATTTTTCTGTTTCTTTGAGTTAGGGTTGTACCTCTTGTTGCGTGGTTTTGTTTCCACTAGATTTGCTTTGGCAGCCATCTCTTTCTCTTTTGCTGCTTGTATTGTCCCTCTGTTGGTATCTTCAATGATGATGTGAGTGATCAAGCCGGTAAGCGACAATTGTTTCTGTTTATGCTTCAGTTGTTGTTTTGTAGTCGTTCCATGAGGTTGGTAGTTTTTCAATCAGGACTCCAGCGATGAACTCGTCAGGAAGATTGATCTTTTCAGCCCGAAGTTCCTCCAGTAATTTGTGATATTCATTGATCTGAAGCTTGATGCTTTGTCATCGGTCATCTCCCACCTATAGAAGTTTTCGACCATAAATTTTGCTTTCCAGCATCCTCAGCAGTATATTTGAGAACCAATGACTCCCATATTTGCTTGCCTCTCTCAGACACTATAGATATCAAATAAATCATTAGACAGTACTGATCAAAGTGTGTCTGCATACTTTGTTGGCAGGTGCCACAAATCCTTCTGTCCTTGATCAGCGTCTGAGCAGGTTCTGATTGAGTCAGCGCATTAACGACTCCATGCATGTCCAGAATTGTGTAGACACGTTCTTGCCACTGCCTGAAGTTGTTTCCATCGAACATTTCTATCTTGGACGTATCAGGGAATGGCCTAGGAAGCGGTATAGTCGCCGGGACATTCAGGGGAACGTTGACAGGAACAGCACTGGAGCCAACGGCGGCGTCATTGTTTTCAGCCATAGTTCAGAATATCTCTCAAGATTGTTGGTGGCAGCAAAGGAGGAACAGCAAATCCGGTTCGAGTCGCGTCACAAGGACACTGTCCTTGAGAGATATTCCGCAACCCCTCGGTGTAACAGGCAGCGGCACTCCCCAGGATCAAACGAACCCTTCCTGCTAAGCAAGGCAGCAGAACAGCGAAAGCAACTATAACAAGGAACACAGCGGGAGAGAAGAGGAAGAGGATGGAGCAGTGAGTCTTTCACGCTGTCTGGACAATCCCTTAAATATAGGCGCGAATGGCCACATCACTGGAAGATGCATCCCTCTGTTTCGCTGAGCGGGTACGATGAAAGCAACGCAAGGTTCCATCAGAGACAGAACAACACGAACGTTGGTGCACACAACGTTCGTTTACACCTCGCGAGACGCGTCCGGTCGGCCACAAAACGAGACGGCAAGCCTCTTGACTTTTAACAGGTCCAAAATAAGGCTTTTCTGGTAAGCAAAATTTTATTAAAAATATTCAACAAAGTTTAAAATAATTTTCGCAAAATGAGGCATTGCCACGTCTAATTCACGCGCAGGGGGGAAATCGCCGATTTACAACTGCGTTTCCCTCCTAGTGGCCCGTTGTTGTGTGCGCGAGGCCCACTTCCCTCTTGGCCCATTTACCCCCCCCAAGGAAGCTTGATCTCATCTATACACTTAGTCTTCTTCTCATCTTTCCCATGTGGGACTTTATTTGACACACACATTGCATTGTTTCACAACATTTGCGACAATTGAAAAAAGGCCTATAACAGAAGAACCATACATTGGATTTATGAAGTCAGTACAACCATATAGAAACCCATTAAGAAACTGAGTAAAATATTTTGGTCGTCCTTCTGTTTTGCCTTAATTACATGTTCCTTCTATTTTAATAATATAAATTTCAGTCTAAACTATTAGCAACTTAAGGAATATTTTGAAAATATTCTTTAAGTATAATTTTTAATTAAAAAAATATTAGAATAAACATTATTTATTACTTTACCCCTCATTATATTAAATATTTAATTTATCCTTTAATATTAATATTTATTACACACACAAGGCTCCAGAGAGCATCATCGGTTAGATCCTCCTTAATTACTTTATTGTATAATAGTCTCAAATAAAGGAGAAAATCCAAATAGATAATACAATACTGGTTTTGGGGCCGGTCTATGTACCTTCCTAGTTTCCTTAGCTCTGTGAGAATACTACCATAGTCTTTGAATTCTTTCTTTACTAGTAAAGGTCTTTTCTAGATGGGTATGTTCTTGACCTTGTCCTATTCTGGTCTTACCATCCTAATTGGTATTGCCTTGATTACACTGGGACCCCCTTCATCTGGACTAGGTCTAGGCCTCACGGTACTGATAGGCACTGCTTTAAAAGCATTGGGGCCTGCCTCCTCTGGGTGTGACCTTGGTTTGGTAGCACTTTGTGTATCACCCCCCTCAAGCTTTATAATGTCATTTGAGTCTTCCTTAGAGGAGATATCCTCTATTTCACTAAGGAGCTGATAGTATCTTGGTGGTGGAGTCGAGTCATTAGGGTTTAAGTTATGTGAGTGGTACCACTCTGGGTACGACTCCCCTGGCATTCTCTGGTTCACCATTTCCCCAAAGTCATCGCTGCAACATGCCATACTTTTCCTGCACTCTATTCAACTAATAACATAGACGATCCACCACAAGGTATAATCCCATCTAGTAACATCCAATCAAGTAGCCATATTTCACAATTATTACTAACATTCAATCACCATTCATCACAATAGTTAACAATCAGTCACAAGCCATAATCCTTAATCGAGAATTAACCATTTATCACAGCAAAAATCAAGCAACACAGTGCAACTTGGACAGAGCCAGAACCTTTGCTCTAATACCAAAAAGTGTAACATCTCCTTTAGTACCCCCATTATATGTCAATTGGAACCATTATAACGCATTGCCCAGTGTTTCCGAGTGAAAAATTTCAGTTTCAAAATTTCACATTTAATTATGTCTGTATATTGTTCATCCAAATTTGAGCCAACTTTGAAAATTCATAACTAATCCTAGAAAAATTGAAATGAGGTGATTCCAATTTTCATGCGAAGCTTGCTAAGAGTTCTATAGAAGAAAAATATTCATTAGACGCAGTTCTATCCCAAACAACACTAGAAAATTCGACAAGGTGCACTGTTTGTATGGTCAATTTTCGAATTTTCAGGATTTTAGCCCAACTTTTGGAAGGGCATAACTCTTAGCACACAAATCCAAATTTGATGGTTTACCATTTGATTTAAAGCTAAAAATGAGATCTAACTGCCTTCAAAATCTCAGGTCTAAATTCTGTAACATCCTGAGTTTTATTGGGTTTTAATAGCCTCTTTTGGTTGATTTTGAGGATAGATTAGCAATTTAATTTTGATCTTGGTGTTTGGGTTGGATTTAAGGTATGTTGGAGGAATAGGTGAACATACCTTCACCGCGGCGCATCGAGAGTTCCAGGGGAGAGTATCCTTTCGGGAATGTTTCACTACGGCGAAGGTAAGGGCATACCGCGACGAAGTTTTTCTAGGTGAGCGAGAGTTTCCTTTTGGGAAGCTTTCGTCGCGGCGAAGATTGGAGTTCGCTGCGGCAAAGTCGGGTTTTCAGACAAGTAATCCTTCTCGGGATTAGTTCGCCGCGGCGAAGATATGGGTTCGTTGCGGCGAAAGGTGTCGAATCTATATAGACGCTGGAGGGTTCAGTTGTGCGAAAATTAGAAAATCTGAAGGAGGAGAGAGGAGCTTTGCTAGGGTTTCGATGTTGAGGCTTGGGAAAGACATTTCTAAGGACCCATTACCTCAGGTAAGTGATTTTAACCTCTAATCTACTTTCTTTCTTGGAATTTTTGAGGATTTTTGGTGGAACCCTAGGATTTTCTAGGTTGTGATGGAATTGAGGTTTTTGACTGATTGTTTTGAGTTTAATTGATTGCTTTGGGTTAGTCTAAGTATTTAATCGGTGTAGTTTTCTTGGATTTAAAGTATCTTGAGTTTTTGAAGCTAGGGTTTATGGAAATAGGTGATTTGGGATTGAGGATGACAATGTAGAGGTTGATTCTGAGTTTTGTGATTTGGGTTATGTTAAGGAGGGTTAAATTGGATGTTTAATCAGTTTAGATTGTTGTTGGAACTTCAATTGTTCAAATGGGATGTTTGGGTGTAGAGTGCCTATAGTAGGTCCTTGAGGTTTGAACTCTAATTGATGCTTAGAAGGAGACTTGATGTTTTAATAGACTTTTATGACTTTGGAGTGTTGTTTTGATGATTATACCCTTTGAGTTGGGTAGAGTTTTGGTTGGAGCTAGGAATTTTGTGTCCCCAAATGTTGTGTTGGCCACATTATTAGTTTGAAAGCTAATACATGATGGTTGTGTGTTTGTGTGCTTGTGTAGACCGGTTGTGAGTCTTGTTGGTGCACGGGGCCACATTGTTGGTTTGTTGTTCCTTGCTCAGGCGAGAGGTAACCACTTTCCAATCCTTAGTACTTGCTTCTGTGGTATTGTGAGTAGATTTATGTTTTGTGCTCCAAGTAGTAATTATGTTCAAAGTGTATGTTGTGTATAAAAAGGAAAACCGTTTTGTGGGGTTTCGATTGATGATGAATGAAATCTTGAAATTGTGAAGGATATGCCACTGAATGAAGTTACTTATGAAATGTTCAACTACTATTTGATTATGGTGTGAGCATGATGCATGAATTGGGAATTGGTGAGAGTTTTTGATAGTTACTACCACGTGGTAAGGCCTCCATTAATGCATGATGGTTGGCTCAGTACGTCCCCCATAGTGAGGGATAGGCCTTTTGGCTCCCTACGTCCCCCAGAGTGAGGGATAGGCCTTTTTGGGCTCCTTACGTCCCCCATAGTGAGGGATAGGCTGGGTTCGGCTTCTGAAAATCCCCCAAAGTGAGGGATATGGTTGATGGGAATTACATCATTGCAATTACATAACTTGTTATGGCTATCTTGTTATCATATTACTTGTGAACTGGCCCACTTGACACCTCACGAGCACCTATTTAGTAGTACCTAGAATTGAAAAGGTTGGTTACTGGGACTTTGTCTCACCCCGTGGTTTATAATGTTTTCAGGTGAAGGTTCTAGGCATGCGCCTTCGGGAAGAGACGCAAAGGCTTGAGCTTGGTTAGCTTTAGGCCTCTAGCCTTTGTTTATGTATGACCAGTTGTATATTGTCACAGTTACGGTCCTTTAAAATATTTTGATTACCCAACCTTATTGTAAATTGGAGAATATGTTATCTCCTCGTTTTAGTTGGCCGGAGGCCTTTTCTATTGTTTTATGAAACTTTGTTACTTGGTTGAAGAGTAATTGGATGGGCTGATTTTGATGTATGTTGTTACCCGAGCCGGAGGCTCGGAGGCCCAGTGCATATGAATGAATGATTCTTAGTTGCATGCAACGGAGTTTGGGTTTGACCCGAGTTTGAAAGTCAATTTCTAAAATTATGCAAATTTCTTTCTACTATGGTAGTTCATTTTAACAGCTTTCTTTTTCTACCATAGTAGTGATTTTATGATGAGTTATAATGTTATGAGGTTAAGGGTTTTACAAATTCCATCATTTTCTTATTATTTTATGTGTCACCATTTTGTCCCTAATTTAGGCCATTTTATCCCCGAATCACTTCTTTCTTGAATTTTATATTTCTTTTTCCTATTCCATACCCTGTAGGCATTCTACCGCTCAATATTTCAATATTTGGGTATGTCATAGGGATATCATTTACATCATATTATTATTCATAATCCATTACAAACTTGGCATAAAGTTTAGTAACACATCACATGATATTCCAAAATAACATAATGATCATCAAGCTTCTTTATCCTAATACCAACTCCTTGCCTTGATCCATGGATGAGCCACTTCCTAAATGATAAATAAATTGACATAGGGAGAATGAGATTTCATAGAAATCTCAGTAGTATTTGAAATACAATTATCATACAAATCAAACAAATTATCATGTGACATGTTATAGAACTTCAAGACATCCTCAAGTCACATGAAAGCATATCCAACAATATGCTAGAAAAGGAACATTAACACTTCCACACTAACACAATTTAATGCATTTGGCCAAAGCATAAATCAAGGGTATCCAACCAACTAAGACCACAACACAAGTTCCTTAATATAAGCAAACAACACATCACATTGAACAAGCAACATAAACAATCAAATTATAATTAAAGCTATCTTTTATCACTTGTCCAATTTAGTCACTTCAAGGAACAATGATCCTCCTTAATTCCTCCTCACAAAATCTATTAAATCAAGCATAAACATAGGCCACATTAATAATCAAACCACTTAAACATAACACTTTATCTTTAACTTAACAATTTCCCCCCATTTTTCTTGGATTTTCAACAAAATAATTCCTCCTTTAGAATCAATAACCTCATGACTCATTCCCACATGATTTTTCATGAGGAATCCAAATATGAAATCATAATTTTTAAAAATCTAACTCCTTCTCCATGAAATCATGTTGGTTGAATAGGGGTATATACTTCCAAAAATTTTATTTTTGATTCCAATGATTTTAAACACTTCCCAATAGTATATCCCTATACAAAAACATGTTTTAAACTCATTGGAATCATCAGATCAAACTAAAACAAACTGCTACCCCATGTACTGTTGTTGGCCGAATTAAACCCCTAGAACCTTAAGTGGATTTTCTTCCAAAATAAATCTATACACCACTTATAAATGCTTATTCTACTTGATATTTAAGGTCTCTATCCTTCCCTAACATCACATGATCCACCAAAATTTTGGGTAGCATGTATACTTAATTTTTCAACTCAAAAACCTAATTAAATTAGTGTAAAACTTAGGGATAAGGAGGCTTAAGCATACCTTGATATTTTCCTAATATAAATCAACTGATTCCTTGCTCAAAACCTCCACAAATTCAGTCTCCCTTGGTCAAAAATGAAAATGGCAGCACCTCCCCTCTTTTTCCCAATTTTCCAACATTTTTTTTGTATTTTAGGAGGAGGTATTTGTAGAAAATATAATATGCCATTCCCCTCTTAATTTGGACATCCAAGGTGGTAGGAAATGAAGTGTGTTGGCAGCCATCAAGTGCCTCATAGCTTTATATTCCAACATGTATCCCTTAATTTTGTATTTTATTTAATTAAATATGGAGCTATCTAGAAGCTGCACGAATTTAGGCCCTTATTGGGCTCAATGTGGCCCCCCAAATGGTTTGAGTTGGTCCAGAAAGATGGCCCGTAATCCAAATCAAAATCATAAACCAATTTGAAACTTTATCGGTTACTATTCACTAGTAACCTTTCAAAATTTTTTTCAGACCTCCAAAAATTCATTTCTCTCCATGATAATTTACCTTTTAATATGAGAACATGATCTAAAAATTTTCAGAATTTTTTGCTACCTCTAAGTATTTATTTTAAATTTTTTCCGATTAGGCCTCTATCAATATCACTCTGAGAAAATAAATTTCTTAAAATTAACTTCTAAGCTTCTAAGGCCTAGAACTAATTTTATAAATTCAAAATATTTAGATCATTTGTCCATAATTTTTCCACAATTATTGAGGCATTTAACTGATTAAATAATTATTTTCCTCTGATTTTCTAATATTTTTCCGAAAAACATCCATTTTATCAACGGATGCCGCTTCCCATATTAGGTAAAAGTGCAAACCAATAGCCGCAGAAGTAGGAATAATGGCACTAGAAATAATATTGTTTCTATAAAGTAGAGGTATAGAAACAGGCTCATGAATACCATCAATATCTAGTGGAGGGGCAGCAATGAAAGCAATAATAAATACAGAAGTTACGGTTAATAAGGTAGGAATCATCAAAACACCAAACCATCTAATGTAAAGACGGTTTTCAGTGCTGGTTATCCAGTTACAGAAGCACCCTTCCGCAGTAATGCTTTTCAAGGAGATGGACTACTTTCTAAACTACGATAGATATGGAGCGGATGGCGTACTGATAGATCTCCTATTCGTTCGTTCTGGATCTAGCTGATAAAGCCCTTTGCTTTAAATTAGTAAAGCGCTAACGAGCAAAGCAAGAGAGTTGCTAGTATTCCTTCAGAGACTTTCTTTTTTTATTTCTGGCGAGGTAGAGCCTTAACCCGACACAAGATGGGACCCTATTAGGATAGCGGGCTTAGAACAAGACCCATCGGTGGATAAGATCACATCTTCATAACAAACAAAAGGTGTACACGTTCGACCTCACTCAAGGTAATGGGCCAAACCTGACGAGTCCAAACTTGGTAAGGATCTCTTCCCTGCCTATTTGGAGGGCTGACAGTTGCTTGCTTGTCTAGGGCTGAGCTTTCCGGTAGGCATCAGTAAATTATATTATTAGAAATTACCACTTACTTCCATAAAAACTTCTTTCGCAATTCCAGCTCGGCCAGAGAATCAAAGGGCAGATGGTATGTCTTTCTATCCATCCTGATTGTTGGATTGAAATTCAAATCCTACCTTTTGCGAGCAAGTTTATAAAAAATAGAATCTTTCCTTCTCTTTTTATCAGTCATACACAAGATGATCAAAGTTGAGGACTACTTTGTAAAGGTCATAGCTGTAATTTGGGCTATTGAGTCAATTTTCTCTACTGCACCCTTTGTTTTAAAGATCATACTTGACACAAAGTTTATATGGTTTGGTTGTATATCTGACTATGAAATTATGAATCATAAAGGACAAAAAATGACTCTTATTATGCGACATACTCATATGCAATTTTTTTGGGGTTAAAGCCATATTAATTTGTGTAGTTATAAAATAGTGTGATAAATTTTATTGATGGTAGGAGAAATTTGGTCAGATTTTATATTTTAATATTATAATTTTTAATTAGAAATATAATAGGTATATCTATATTAAATGGTAACATTAGCAGAATTTCTGGCTATCTACAAGTCATCCTATCCAATTGAGAATTTCATTAGGGTTTATGTAGATGTAAACATTCCATGATTTTCAATTTAATTTATTTTGAGAAACCGGAGACATTATGTTTCTTCTAGATGCTATCGTAATCATGATCATAATTTATATAGGGATAATTTTAGAAATTAGTAATTGTTAATTAGTTATAATTAATAATAAATATTTAATAATCAGGCAAGTACTAAAAGCCGTACACTAAATGACTAAATCAGCCTTTAATTAGTTTTAGATATTTTTATCATTTTCTCATGGCCTATAAGCTCAATAGATAATGGGTTTTTTGCAAGACAAGTAATGTTGGTTCATTCCAATTGTTCTGTCAAATATTTTTGTCAACTTGTAAAAGCATTAAGGGATCAAGGTGATAATGGAAATTAAATAAAAAATATATGTTCACTCAATTATTTGATTTATATAGATATATATTTCTTCAGAGTTATTATAATTTATGTTATTCATTGTTAATATTGTCATGCATGATACGTAATGTAAAATTTTATAGTTCATTTTTTAAACAAATATAGTTCATGACAACATCATTGAAATTTATTGACTGAAGTAATGTCACAATTTAAATAACGCGAGATTCATCATTGTTGATATAAAGCCTTCATTATACATATTATTGCACAAGCTAACTATAATATGATGAATTAATTAGTTAATTAGTTAATTAGTATAAGAACAATTTCATCATGCATGGTATCCCTTGCATGGTAATAATATATTTAACAAAGATTTTAATATATTTTGACAAAAAAAAACACAGAATTTAATATTTTGTTCATCTTCATTAGGCAGTGAGAATATTAAATTAAAGTTCTCTAAGTAGCTTTTAAATGTGGTTGCTGTTAACTTAGATAAACCACATGATAATATAGTAGAGAGAGAAATCGCTATTGAGTTATTAATATTAAATCATATGAGTGTAATTGTCTCATCCGCGGTTGGAAAATCTAAATAATATGATGTAGTGAAAGGGATATAAGATGTTAATTAAATGTAGTTCAAAAATTATGTCGAGAGGCTTTGATATTTTTTTCTTGCATTGCTTGAGGGAGCGCACGCATATATTGAACTGAAATGAAATGATTGGAATTAAAATTAAATTCTTCCTGATTAGGGTCAGAAATGAAGTCACTATTATGTTTCATGATGAGTGTGCTACTAAGATCCTTTACAAAGATAAAACTTCTAGGAGTGCAGCTTGGTATTTTTACAGCTATTCAGTACCTTGTTGGAAGTGACCATTGCCAAAGCAGTAAATGAAGCTCATTTGATTCTATTCATTTATTTCAACATTTAGTTATTGATATTTTGCCATACTTTGTGACATTTTTGTTTCTATGTTTAATGTAGGTGATGCACGCATTACTTCTTTTCATGATGCAATTAGGGTTTTGTTTCATCCAGAGTCCAATTGATGCAAGTTGTATCAAAGATGTTTTAATGCCATGAGTGTGTTGACTCTGAAGTTAATATATATTATAGTTTGGACTTTGAATGAATTGCTGTTGTAGCTTCAAATATGAATTTTTGTGGCCTTTATATGATATGATTGTGTAAGGCAATGCCGCCAAAGTTTTTAAAGTTAAGATGTCAACCATTTTGTTGATATGGATAAAATTGCCTGCCTTAGTTGTTGTAATAATTGTGTAGTCACATATTATATGTTTATGGCGTTTTTTTTTCACATGTTAAAAGTAAGAGGACTTTGTGGTGATACATGGAGAAGCACGTGCTAGTTGATTTCTAAAATTGTTCCATGAATAAGAAGTTTTCATGGTTATCATAGGGGTATTTTCCAATGTTAAAGTATGTGTCCCAAAGGAATCTATTTCTACATCCAGAAGATTGGGTATACTCACTTGTCGAATTAAATTATGAATCAAGTGGCAAGCCATAATATATCTGCTTTGAATTTTCACAAGGCAAAATGAAGAACTCTTCATAATAGCCCAGCACAATCTCAGTATGCCAAAAGATCTTTCTATCACATTTCTGGCACTTGAGTGGCGCATGTTAAAGTACTCCTATGGTGTTTTAGATTGTTGTCCTTCCCTCCGCCCATTAAGGTGGTATCTCTGACCTTGATAGGGAGTAAGAGATCCTTAGCAGTTTGTATAACCAGTATTAACTAAGTACTATTTACCTGAATCAAATGAATTTTAATTCCTAGTGTCAAATAACAATTGAGACCGCATTAATTCTAATTTATGTTATGAGAATTCAAACCAACATCAAGTAGGTTCTACTTACCTTAACCACTTTAATTCTAATTTCCAGTAACAATTTATCATGTAAACCTCAAGTACAAACCTTGTGGAACTTTCAATGTACCCCTTCTTCTTATAGCATCTCTCAGCACCCTTCAATCAATTGTAGACCCTTCGTAACAAGGCAACACATATATATATGGATATCTGGTGAGCATACCTCCAATACATTGGTTGTTATATCACCTTTCCTTTTTTATATCTATCCTTGTATTGAGCTAGCACTCGTACCCATATATGAGTCTCATCTAATGCACCAAAACAATTTTGCTACAATAAAAATTAATTCAAAGTCATTACACACAACAAAGTATAATTATCTTACCAAACGGAGAGTAAGATGTAGGGGTTTACCTTAAACTATTTCCAACGCTCATCTGTAGAGTTTTCTGGAATTGGCTCAAGCGTTTTAAATAGTGAATTATAGCTTTAATATTGCACACAACACAATATTGAAGTACCTAGTGATTGTTTCTCAAGATCTCCTAAACTCAAATTGAATAACTCTATTTTTTACAAGATGAGCATAAAAACATTGCTACTTGTTGATCTACTAACATATGCTTAATTGGTTTTAGTCCACTGATTGTGTCCAACATGTGATAGAGTCAATCAAGAGTTGCATGATACATCCTATGAAACACGCGTTATCACTGTCCTCAAGTTTGCTCTTTTTGCATGGATATCTAACTTAAATGACCTATCCCCTATATCCCTTGGTCTATGACTACTTGTAGCAGATGCAACGATAACAAACATTGTCATAATCAACCTCCTTACAGCTAGAACAGCTGTCAAACAAGCAACCAGATTCCTTTTGAATAGAAGTCGGCTAAGCACATGTAACAAGCACAAAATAGCTATTATATGTATATGTATGTCCATAATAATGAATTGCACAACTTTACTCATGCTCTATGTCTTACAACTACTAAAAAATCACAAGATGGGCAACACATTGCAACCTACCTTTTCACTATTTAGGATCGCCGAAGGTTAGAATGTTGGTTGCTCGATGCTTCTTGTCTGTCCTTTTCTACTTTGACGCTCTCATTCCAACACCTAGCTCACCCTTTTTTTAATATAATTTTCAGGTGCATCATCGTATCTAACCTTGCCTAAATTAGTTCCTAAGCTCGACTAAAAATGGCTTCCTACCAAATTTAGTGAGATCCCATTTTCAATTGTATAACTTAAAATCCCTTACTAGCGAAAAATAGTTCCAAATGGCACCACCAAACACTTCCCGCCATTAGAAAATTCGATTTTTCCAATTCCATCACCACTTTTTCACTCAACCAAACGGACCTTAAGAGTGAAAAGCAATAAGAAAATGGATTATGCTTGAAAAAATAAGAATTGTGATATTAATATTAATGGGTATACTTTGATAAAATGACTCTTATGGATCTTTGTTAATAATAGTGAAGCTACAACGATAGTTGAGTACAATGATAGAAGCTGTTATATACATGGAGACTTATAATCAAGTCTTAAGAAAGGAATTTAATTACTTTAAAGTCTATTGACAATTGAAGAAGATACAATGACAAGTTTCAGAATAATAAATGACAACTAGTTCATGTTGGTCACTTGTCATTAGGATTTCTTGATAATGAAATTCTTTTCTTGGGATCTCATAAT